TTGAACCAGCTATTATCCTTCTAGTTATGTTCCTGAAAGAGTTAAAAATAACATACTTCAATGATACATACATATCCATGTTTATAGCAGCACAATTTACAATAGCTACATCTTGGAAGTGGCCTACATCCATTAACAGATGAAGGGATAAAGAAAATGTGGTATTTATACATATTGGAATATGACTCTACCATAAAGAATAATAAACTTGAGTCATATGTGGCAAAAGGGATGCACTTTGAGACCATAATGTTAAAAGAAATAAACCAGACACACAAACAAATATTACATAGTTTGTCTTATATGACAAACCCAAATTATAACCAAAGAATAAAATAAGAGTTAGAGAACAGGAAGTAGGAAGGTAGATTTTTCTCAAAGGAGAAGGAAATCAAGAGATGGAGTAAGGGGGGAGAGAGAGAAAGGAAAGGAAATTTAAAAAGCAATTAAGATATGTTATGTACATGTATGTACCACACGCAATTAATAGAAACATTATGTACCTCAAACACATGCCAAAAAAGGAAACAAGAAGGGAGAAAGGGATGAGTGGAGCAGGAGTGAGTGAAGAAAAATTGTATGAAAAAAGGATTTAAGATGTTTTAGATAGGTGTACCAAAACCCCATGAGGAATGTTAACATTCTGTACTGAAAATATACTAATAAAGAAAAAGATCTGAAGAAAACACAGTTCACATGAAATGTTGAACAGAACAATCAGGACAAAGAAGATAAAAAAGGAAAAAATAAGTAATAAGTCAAACGATACTTTCTGCAGATGACATGGATGTTTTCATAAAAGACAAAAATTCCACCAGAAGACTCTTAGACCTTACAAACAACATTTTCAAAGTGGCAGAATAGAAAATGGACACATAAAATTCAACAGTGCTCCTATAAATCTATCATGAACCCAAGAAACATGTCAGGAAAACAATTCCATTTACAATAAGATTTTTAAAAAAACATTTAAACTTAGCAGTTAACCTAAAAAATGAAATAAAAGACCTCTATAATGAAACTTATAGTACTCTGAAAAAGAGATTGAAGAAGACATGTGAAAATTGACAGACATGACTTTGATATGAATAAGCAGAAACAATGTTGTCAAATGTTCATATTAACAAAAATGACATATAGATTTAAAGCAACTTAAATCAAAACTAACAATTTTCTTTGCAAAAGTAGAAAAAAACAATTCTAAAAATTTTATGGCACCAGAAGAAACCAGAATAGCTAAAGACATGCCGAGAAAATGCTCATAGCAGGATGTATCATGGGCCCAGACTTCAAAACTACAGTAAATAAGAGAAGAATGGCACTGCCCACAAAAAATATATGTGCATAACAAAGTAACAGAGAAGACGTAGAAGTAGCCCAATGTACCTTTAGCTGTCTGATTATTTCCCAATAAGCTAATCATATACATTGGGCTAAAGACAGCCTCTTTAACAAATGCTTCTGGGAAAACTGGTTGTTCACATGTAGGAGAATGGAATTAGAGTCATCTCTCTCACCCTGTACTAAAATCAAATCAAAATGATGAAAAACTTAGATATCAAAACAGAAGAACTAAATTTTCTCCAAGAGAAAATGATAAAACTATTGAAATAGAGAAGTACATGCAGAACAGAACTCTTTTCACAAGAATTAATAGCAAGAATCAACAAATAGCACTACACTAATGGAATTTTCCCATGTAGCAAAGAAAACAATCATAGAGCCAAGAGACAACCTACAGAATGAGAATGATATTTTGCCAGCTAATCCTCTGATAGAGGACAGATATCTAGAGTATATACAAAATTTAAAAATCAACTTCTGAAACAAAAGACCCAATTAAAAATGAGCAATTAAAATAGACAATTCTCAAAAGAAGAAGTTCAAATGGCCAATAAATACATAAAAATGTTCCACCCAACCAACACTGCCCACCCTCCTGGGGTCTCCAAAGCACAGGGAATCAGAGGTGGCAATCAACAGATGAACCTGATGGAAGAAGAGAACAACATCCAGGAGGAGAGGTTTGCTTCAGGACTGAAATGTTGCCCTACCACCAAGAATGGTAGAGAGGAGAAAAGCTAAATAAGGATCTCCTGGGAACCCCTGGAACACCTGGAGTCAGACCAACAAGATCACAGGACCTGTATTCTATTGTGGGAGCCCAGGTTTGGTGGGTGAAATTATCAGAGGGGGCAGTCCTATAGGAATTTGCAGTTAGTATAATGATGTGATTGGATTCTGGGCACTGCTGCCTACATCCAGCAAAAATTAGTGGTCTGAAGTAGTATTGATTATTTTCACTAAAATCATAGTTCTCTTTGTTCTGGTTAAGGGATGGTCATAAGTGTTTCCTGGGGTTTGCCAATTTCCAGTTGACATGTGATGCCATTGTTGCCACTGAATTTACTACTATAGCCAAGGTAACATAATAGTGGTTGACAATTGGTTTGTTCTCTATAGCAATATGTGTATTTCTTGGTTGGTCATAAACAAAACAAAATGGTTATACATGTACATAGGAACATGTAAAAGCAAAGCAACAGAAGACCACCCAAATCTCATAACTCTCTTAAGGCAGATAAGGAGGCACAAATGAACAGAAAGGCAAGTAACAGGTAATAGAATGCTGCAAAAAGCTTATAGAAGAGACGAAGAAACTAGACAAGTTTAAGAGGAATTGAACCAAAAGTTCTCAGATATCACTCAAAATGCCTGGGCAGGGGGCATCACAATCTCTGACTTGAAATTATCCTACAGAGTGATAAAAATAGCATGGTGCTAGGGTAAAAAAGACTCAAGGATCAATGGAATAGACTAGAAGATACAAGAGCAATTCCAGACAGACTCAGATACCTTATCTTTGACAAAGGAGCCAAACTCCTTCCCTGGAAGAAATACAGCTTCTTTAATATATGGTGCTGGAACAAAATGGATTTCCATATGCCAAAGACTATAACTAAACCCATGTCTCTCATCATGCACTAAAATAAAATAAAATTGGATCAAAGATCTACATATTAAAACAGAAAGACTAAATCTGCTGGAAGAAAGAACAGATAGAACTCTTGATGACATAGGTATAGGCAAAGACGTAATGAACAAAACCCCAGTCATACATGATATGTTACAAGAAATCAACAACTTTGATTTCATCTTACTAAAAAGGTTTTACACAGCAAAAGAAATCACTAATAGAGTGGAGTGACAACTCATAGAGCTGGGAAAATTTTTGCCAGCTGTTCCTTAGACTAGTATGGAGAATATATAAAGAACTGAAAAAATCAAACTCCCCACTTAGAGACACAGTATGAAAGTGGGAAACTGAGACTAATACACATTTCTCAGATGAAGTACCAGTGGCAAATAAATTTACAAAAATATGGTCAACGCCACTGGTCATTTGAGAGATGAAAATTAAAACAATGCTGAGATTCCACCTCACTCCAGAAAAAGTGGTTATTAATAAGAAATCAACCAAAAAAAATGCTGGCAGGGTTGTTAGGGAAAGAGAACCCATCTCCACTGTTGGAGGGAGTGTAGAATGTGGAAATCAGTGTGGAGACTCCTCAAATAAACTAGGACTATAAGTTCCATTTGGCCCAGCTATTATCCTTCCCAGTAACTTCCCAAATGACTTAAAAGCATCAGGCCATAGTAGTATATGCAAACTCATGTTCATAGCAGCACAGTGTGCAATTCACACACAGTCGGCCCTCAGTAACAGGTCAGTGACACAGGACTAACTTGCTCATTTCTTCAGTGCCATCCCTTAGCACAGGCTCCACAGTTGAAGCAAAATGGAAACGTTATTCCTCATGTGATGATGAAATTCCTTCATGTGGTATCATAAAGGAATCATTACTGGAATGATGGTAGCCATATTTTGAAAGTTTATCTGATGAATGGAGGATGTAGGTAAAAATTTGTCAATTATTTTGTAAAACAATGAAATTTCACATGCATTATTAGTTGGCAACCAGAAAAATATCAATACATTATATATAATATACATACAATATATTGCATATGTATTATATATAATGCATGCAATATATTTTATAACATATTTTAACATGAATGACAGTGAAAGAAGCACAAGAATTTTCAAAATACTATCATAGTGATTAACTTACAAGGTAAATGAGACCTCCCTCCCTCCCACCTTTCCTCTTCTCTCTGATAAGGCTGTAATTTGGTTGAAGAAGACCTAAATCTACTACTTTTGGATATAACCTACTCTATTTGAGCACAATAGATATTCTGTAACACATTGTTTAGATAAGTTTTAAGTTCATTTTAGGTAAATTTTTAAGAAAATTGCTTGTGGATTCATAAGTCATTGTAGACCTGGAAACACTGAGAAGAAAATCTACCCATCAAATTCAACACAACAGATTCCTTTGGAGACAGGAGAGCAAGAGAAATGCTAGAAAGGACTCAAATTTCTAGGTAATTGTTCATATATTTAAAAATATTAATGAGGTTGTAAATATCATTAAATATTTATATATGTCAATATCTAAGGAGTTGGTATGAATGGGAAAATTTCTAAATGGCAGCAAATAACCTCCGACAGTGGATTTCAACTCTCATTTTAGAAAGTGATACAAAAATTTGAAATGTACATATTCTGATTAATATGTTAGGCTAAGTGTAGAGTATTTGAATATATGTCACTATCTCCAGATAAATATATTCCTAAATTAGCATCAACAGTGATGCAACTTAAATGATTTTCAAAATATTTTCTTACAGCATGGACATAAGGTAGGTAATTCTTATCCCCATTTTACAAATGAATGGGAGTACATTATTTGCATGTGTGTTTACAAGATTTCACATTGCTTTTTCTATTGCAGCTCAGTTTTAAGGTATGCTTAAATTATTTCATGAACTATTTTGGGCTTTTTCCTAATTAAATCACAGAATGAATGGCTTGATGAAAATATGTGTCAAAGTTTCCATCACATAGCTGAAATATGAATAATGAAACTCACATTTCAGTAGAAATTGATGTGAAAATCTGTTGGTTAGAATTAGGAAGACTGGGGCTCAGCCAGGGCCTTGGGAGTTTCTTTGATTCCAGTGTTCTGAACTGGATTTTAGAGGGTTTATGATCAGAACAGCAGCAAAGCATTTTATCAAGCTACAGTAGACTACAGATTCAAGAAAGAGATGTCTTATATAGCAAATATTTTACTGATATTTTATGACTAAATACACCTGTTAAAATTAAAAAGGCAAAGGTGCATTATATCATTTATTATTTTTAATGACAAAAGCCGTATACACTAATCTACATTTTTAGTAATTATGTCCAAAGATTATGTGCATGTATCCGAACCTGTGATATATATATTTGAATGCAACAAAGACAAGGATTTCATATTAAATAATTTATTCAAAAAAGTTTCACATTGAATAATTTATTGACAAACAAAATTTATGTACAATTTATATACAAAGGCGGAGTAAGCTCTTACATCCTTAAAAGATAAAATCAGAAAAAAAATTAGAAAAATGAAAAATTCATTATTTTTAGCACAATGGCTGAAAAAAGTGTTCTGATGAAAGAGAATTAACTGTAATTTAATTTTCAAATAAAGGAATCCTAGATTATATACTACTTGTAGACACCCTAATCAAGAAAATTTATAATAGTCTGTGAGTATAAAATATGGAATATTTCAATGCTTTTCAATTTTCTTCCAATAGAATTATATTTTCTTAAAGGAGGGTGGCTTAACGTTCTCATGCAATATGGAAAGAAATAATCTCACATGTGTCTCAGAGTTCTATCTCATGACCTTCTCAGATGATCCAGACCTGCACCCAGTCCTCTTTGGACTGATCCTGTCCATCTACCTGGTCACAGTGCTCAGGAACCTGCTCAACATCCTGGCTGTCATCTCTGCCTCCCACCTCCACACCCCCATGTACTTCTTCCTCTCCAACCTGTCCTTGGCTGGCATCTATTTCACCTCCTCTATAGTCCCAAAGTTGATTGTGGACCTCCTTACTCACATCAGGGTCATCTCCTATGGGGGCTGCCTGACACAGATGTCTCTTTTTGTCCTTTTTGGATGTATGGATGACATGCTTCTGACTGTGATGGCCTATGATTGTTTTGTGGCCATCTGCCACCCCCTGCATTATGATGTCATTATGAGTCCTCATCTCTGTGTCTAGTTACTTTTGCTGTCAGCCTTTCCTAGCCTTTTGGATTTCAGGTGCACAGTATAATTGCCTTATAAGTTACCTGTTTCAAATATGTGGAAATTACTAATTTCATTTGTTTCCTTTCTCAACTCATTCACCTTTCATGTTTTTATACCTTAATCAAAAGCATAGTCACATATATTCCTGGTATCCTATTTGGTTTTATTCCCATGCCAGGGATCATTTTCTCCTACTATAAGATTGTTTCTGCTCTTGTGAAAATTCCATCATCTAGAAGGAGGTACAAATCCTTTTCTACCTGTGGTTCTCACTTGTTAGTTGTTTGCTTAATTTATGGCAGAGGCTTTGAAATGTATCTTGGTTCAAGTACATCTTACACTCTCAGCAAAGGCCTGGTGGCCTCACTGATGTACACTGTGGTCACCCCTATGCTGAATCCTTTCATCTACAGTTTGAGGAACAGGGACATCCTTAACTTCCTGAAGAGGCTCCACCTTTGGAAAATATAATCCTAGGAACTTTGCCATTCATTTGGAAATTAGTTTACAATATGTGATAAAAAGTAAAATTTAAAATTTCTCTGTTAATACTTCCCTTTGGTTTTATTGGACCTGACGTTAGATGTCTTTAAATTTATATGATGTTTCATCATGGAATCAAGGGTGTTTGAGGGGTAGTATTTAGTGTTCTTCATACAGGTGCAAATTTCATTTTGGAAAGTGAAAAATTTCTGGATATGGGTAAGAGTGACAATTGCACACAAAATATTATAAGGTCTGTAACCAAAGTCTGCACCTTAAATTGCTTAAAATGATACCTTTAGATATGTATATCTTTCCACAATGAACAATGGAAATGAAAAGCTTAGGACTTGGTTTAAAAAAGAAAAAATTAGCAAAGATAATAATACTCTGGAGACATTTTATGTAATGGAAGACCCCAATATTTTTGTGACATTCATTTTTTTAACTTCCATTGACTTTCAGATATTTCAAAGATTGGAATAATATGGACCGATGTGGATAATTATTAACTGTGTGCATTGAGATTTCAAGGTTATGTCATATGACATAATCATTCAACTCTTCTAGTGTTTTTTCTTTTTTGTACCAGGGATCAAACTTGGGTCCTTGTGCTTGTGCAGCAGGCAGCAAAACCACTGAGCTAAATCCCTGACCTTCTTCTAGTGTTTTTTGACATCTTGAAATATCTGTATCTCCTTTCATGTTCATCTAAAAAAAGAAGCCTATATTTGACATTATCCATAACAATTATCTGGGTTGTCCTTGAGCTTTTTCTGGATGTCAGGGAAATGAGGTATGTGAGATACATTTGGATATTCCATAGTAGACACAAAGCCTAATTCAGAAAATAATGGATTAAAGAAAGGACGAACTTTTGGAAATATTACTTCCCATTTTGAAGACCTTTTGACAGTGAGATGGGATGGTGATTGTGCATAGTTTCTGCTCAGTGGACTGTGAAATGTATATACTTGATTATTACAAGGACCCAAATCTCCATCAAAGTTTTCCTTTCCTTAAACAATGGTCCTGATTCTCATAGACATCTAGCCCATGATAGCATTTTATGGGTGGCAGTAAACTATTTCCTCAGCATCTCAAAAGACTTATAGTAGGAGGATGATGGTGAGGATGAAATAACCACAACATCATGAAGCAATAACTGAAGATTGATGTATTCTATGTAACTTGTTTCATTTTATGGGCACAATATTTCAGAGTAGAGTCTCCTATATTATTATTCTTAAAGGAAATAGAGGAGCTGCGTTTTGGTGTAATTAATTGGAAGTTGTTGGATAGAAACTAGTGAAGAAATATTTACACAAGGCAGTCTGGTAACTCACACAGGGCATTTTACCAGGGAATCCTGGCACATATTTCCTTTGAAAATCCTAGCACCCATTTCTTATTCCTGTGGCCCCAGGAAGGACCCATTTCCTACTGTATTTTATCCCTAGGAGTCTCAAGTAGATCACTGTGGAGAGAGGGGTGAAAACTGCTGCATCCACGTTAGAAAGTATATCTAATTTAGAAGTGAACATCAAAGATTAAGAAAGTCTACAATGGTTACTTTTGATCTCATGCCTGCTCCCCACTCCATGCTTCCCATGAAGCTTCCCACATCCTGTTCTTCTCTTACAAATCATCCATCTCAATGTATAGAATCAACTCCAGTTAGATTTCTCTCCAACCCTGAAAACTGAAAAGAGTTTAATTTTTCCATACATAAATACAGTGTAGACATGACAACCTCTGCTGGAAACTCTATGATGGTTGAGAAACAACATGATTTAATTCAAAGTATATATCATCAGTAGAATAAATGACAAAAGATTCAGTTTCACAACATTTAAATGAAGTATTCTGGTATTTCAATTTGTCATTTTCTTTTATACATAATGGAACATTTTGTATTTCCTTTCTGCAAACACAAGCATGTAGTTAGACAAAATTCATTTCTGACTCAGTTTTTATCTCATCTTGGCACACAGGAGTAATTAAAAACAAAATATTTGATAAATAATAGGTAGACGCTTTTGGCTCACAAGTGAACAGTTGATCAGAGATCATAGCAATGATTTTCATGGATATAAAAACTATATACATAAAGAAAAGGATGTAATATCATCAATGAGGCTGACATATATATATTAGCATTTTACATCATAACAGGTTCCATGCCCCTTTACAATAAAATTTCTAGTTGTGTAGAGTGCTTTATTTGAAAAGAAAACCCACAGCAACTAAACATTAGAGTTCCAAACTTTCTTTAGCTATGCATATATTGTGGAAATGGGTGATAGTTTCCCTATTTCCACTGGGGAATAGGAGCAGATAGAACTGAATAAATTTACATACATTGTAAATTTAGTGACAGGTAAATATCACGTCTTACAGATTAATTTCCTAACTCTCATCCCTCTTTACATTCTCATCTAAAGGAATGTGAAATGTCTTGATCAGTAATGATGAAAGGTTTAGTACTAGACATACCTCAGGAAAATTTTTGAAAATATACCTTAAGAGTAATATGATGTATATGATAGTACTTTTTATTAGGAAAACATAAGTGATTATAATATTGAGTAAACATCACATGCTGGACATAAAACAAACATCCTCCACTCTCAAAGTGTCTGGTAATTTTCACTTGCTTGAAATGAAGGGAGGCACAAGAATGTTGAAAGATTACCATGGTAATAATAAAGTAACAAATTATATCATGTCCTTTCATCTAATAAAGCTGAGCAACAGTGAAAGTATTTGAAATATCCATAAATACAAGACAGCCTGGAATCTATATGTGTATATAAACTAGTACATTTCAGGGCAATAAGTATGTTGTAGACTGCTTAGAAGACATCTGTTAATTTCAGTGTATGTTTTTAAGAAAACAGTTTATGGGTTCTAAATAAATATTAAATATATTTGAGGTAAGATTTTTGAGAATCTGTTTAGGATTCTATAAGTCTATACTCATATGAGGATATCAACAGTAAGATTTACTCACCCAGCTCTTTACGGGCATCATCTTTAGGGATATTTGTGAATGACAATGGAATCATGTAGAGCTGTCAAAAACTAAAGTTTAGTAGACAATTATTTAAATCTGTATTAAGTACCAATCTGTATAATGTGTTAAATTTGTAAAAAGTTCAAATCAGCATAAAGCATTAATTCTGAGGCAATCATTAATACATTTTGATGTTTTAATAGAGATAGTGGATGTTTTTGCATGGTATGCTAATATAAGAAATTATTTTCTAAATGCAGGAAATATTCTAAGGCAGTGTTCTTCAACCTTTGTGTAAATAAAGATCACTTAAGAATTTCAAATGAAGATATTCGGTATACATATATTTCAAATTAAGGGTACAGTAAGTGGGTATTAAAAATGTTCCCAATTAAATATATCAATAAATGAGACCAACATTTTCTATCTGTGAAAAGTTGAAGTGATGTTTTGCAAAAGTCCTATAAACCAAGTATGTATGATCTCCATTTGCAGATAAGGAAGAAGCCCAGGTCTGTTTACAATGTTATCTGAAATTTTCTATTTGCATTTCCCCTAATTGAATCATAGTGAAAGCACAGTAATAAACTTTCATGGACTCCAGTTAGTTAATGTAAGTGCATTGGAATCTACGAGTGAGAATGTTTGAAGTGAAAATCTGCTAACTAAGCACAAAATGGCTAGGTTTCGTATCTGGAATTTTGAGCATTTCCTGGTGCTGAAATGCTCAATCATAAATGTGAGTATTTATATTCATGAAAATGATGAAATTGTATTTCTAGTGTATTAGAGTATTCAGAATAAAAGGCAAAAAATAAAAAGATAAATGCATACACACCAGATATTTTGCATAGAATGAATTGGTTTGATCTGTTATATAACCAAAAGATTACAAATTTATATATATATATATATCTTATAATTTAGTATTTCTAAGTTATAGATGGAGTCAATGTGCAATAATGCCACATTAGTGATTACTGATATTCTGTGATTAAATACATTACACAAATGCATATCTATCCAAATTTGAAATCCACCAAAGATTAGGACATGTGCTATGCATTATATGATTTTTAAAGAGAACAAAATACAAGTGAGAACTTAAATTCACCAAGGAGCCAGATCATATATACATGGAATGATTAAACACCTAGATAATAAAGGAAACGTAACAAAGTTTTCTGCTTAGAAACCATCAAAGTAGTTAATATACAGACAGCACAATTCTATGGAGGTATAGTCATTTCAAACTAAGTCACTGGAACTTCTATTGTTTAAGGATAAA